AATGTTGACGTATCTTTTGTACTCGGAGTCAACCACGCGAATATTGAAAACACTTGTTTATCACTTTCGATAGTGGTTCAAGTGTTGCATTAACATGAGCTAGTCTTCCTTTGTCACAGCCATACTTGCAAAAATAAAAATTCAATTCAATTCAATTCATGGTATGTCTTAATTTTAGTAGTACATCTCAATTATAATACGAACCATAGGTATTAAAACTAAATAACAATACTAACGTTGCCCCAGTTTTTTATGTAACCATGAAAAGTACTTAGACTATAACGATGATTCCCTGTGCAAAATTTTGTTGATGAGTTGCTGTCTGTGTTTGTTTTAGCCAAATTCTCTGACAACTAGATCATCGGTATGAGTGAGTGATTTGCGAATAGGTTTGATTTAATTAATTTAAATGTTGAATAAACTGGTTTACTTATCTCGTCAAACCTGATTGTCGTAGATACAAGAATCTTATGTATTACTAATTTGGTATTTTGTTACGTTGGCATTGTAACAACTACAGATGATAAGACTATGATCTGTTTGAAATCAATGTGAAACTCAGATAACACAATTTTGTAACGTAAATGAACTGACAGGCATTGCTGGACGTGAATTTTTCAGTATACAAGTTGGCCTTGTTGAATTTTATGTGAATCGGCTTATCTTCGAGACAGTTTTGACTAATGTTAAATCGATATTTAGATTAATTTTTGAATGTATGATAAATATTGAGGCCGACTATGTTATTTTCAGCCAGCTGCGCATATTGCTGTAGTGTTGCTCGTTGTACCATTCCAGTTAACATCAGTCCTGTACATTTCCTAGTCTACAACAGAAGAAGTGTCCAAGAACGCTAGTGCTGCTTGTTTCCGAAGTACGAGTAGTTATTTAAAGTAATAGCTGATAGGAATCTGAAGAAAAATGAACAATATCAGCGAACCTATATAGTTCGCCACGCCAAAAATTAGAAACTGATAGATAGATTATTGATCGGTGTGTTTTTATTGCATGCCATATCCATGCATTAATATTTTGTAGTGAAGTACTACTATCTAGAATATATGTAGAATAAAACTCATCCGGTGAGTAGTGAGATTTAATGTGTCATGCTTCTCTTCGCATGCGTTTTACTTACAATTGGAGCAGATGTTAAAGTATTGACAACATTGTGTGTTAAAGTTGAGAAGACGTTTTCTACATTGATAAATAGTAAAGATATCTGAGTTGAACTCGTATCGTACATAGCAGATGAAAATGGTTGTTTCTTACCGGTTGAGTCAACCATGATTGAGGGCGTTGAAAATATTGGTATTTCTGATGCTGAAATAATTTTATTGCTGTCCGTAGGATTAGTGTTGGTGCTAAGTGTTTCAGGTACATTATACGCAGTTGATGATGTCATCATATCATCGTCCGTAGTTGCATGTAATGGGTAATCAGTGTATGAAATTATCGACGAGGCCGAGACTTGCGCAGTAGTATAACGAGTATTTGAGGTAGTTGTCAGATATTTTGCACTAGTCTGAGTTGTTCGAAATCGATCTGAAGAAAAAGGAAAGATTGAAGTTTCTTATCGAGTGTAGATTTTCTGAGAACGAGTGTTAGTCAAAACCGATCAAAGATATGTTTTGTAAGAAATAATTTATTTGTGTGAGACATGCCTGAAGTTGTTCTTGTCCGTATTGGCCCTCGCCGACTAGAGAACGATTGCGAAGAAATTTTTATATTGTTGGATATCGATTGCATATTTGTTTGGTATTTAGATTGAAAAGTCGATCGAGTGGCCGAACTATAATCTCCCAGTCTTTGTGCAATGGTCACTAATGAGGACATAACTGTTGTTTGCGGACGAATAGGACGACGTCTTTTTGAGGTTAAACTATATGTAGATGAGGTGAAAGCATTTCTCAGAATTTTGCTTGATATATCAATCACCTTATGAGAAGAAATTGTATAAGGTATGAGTGGTACTGATTGAAGAGGTATAAAGATGGGTTTCTTTGATGAGGTTGTTTCGTAAACACTTGTTGAAATTCGTTTACGACCTTTTCTTGTGATAAAACTTGAGGAATTCTGGTAAGTTGTTTGCGACAATCGAAACGACGATGAAGTACTTTTACCTTTGATCGTAGTAGGAATATTTACCGATGATTTGATCAAAATTGTTGTTGGTATTGCTGTAGTTGCATATTTTGTTTTTTTCTTACGTGACTCTCTAGTTATAAGCGTTATATTAGAAACCGCTGACATATAGCTACTACTTAGTAGAGGAGTCTTTGTGGTTTGAGCGCGTACTGTTATCTGAAACGGCGTGCCATATGGTGTTGAAAATAGTTTGGGTTTTTTTGTTCGAACGGATTGTGTAATAGAAGGTTTGTTACTAGAAGATTGCATGCTCACTTTGGAGAATGAAGTCATTGGCTGTGATGTGAAAACGGTTGATAGGCGAGTGTTACGTCGTACAGTTCTAATTGGTATTTGAGGAAAACCAGTACGTCGAACAGAAACAATCACAGTTGAGATTTTTGGATAATAGGTTTGTATTGTTGGTTTGCTACTGCTAAAGAAAGCTGCAATTGAGGATAGAGAAGTAAGATCGAAATCATTTGTTGAAGAACTATCTGTGGTTTCAAATGTAACAGTTGGTAATTCAGTTGACGTATTGTAATTAGTTTCAGTCGACGACATACTGTCATCATCCCCAAGCGCAGTTGAATTTTTATCTTGGAAATCTCTCACGGATGATGAAAATAGATCATAAGACAGAGTTGAAGACAAAGTGGATTCGGTTGAGATTAATGATACTTGATCACTGGATAAATTATCAAAATTAAACGGTGTTGTAGTTGGTTGTGGCTTGGAATAGTTGACTGTAAAGATGGATTTCTTTGATGAGGTTGTTTCGTAAGCACTTGTTGAAATTCGTTTACGACCTTTTCTTGTGATAAAACTTGAGGAATTCTGGTAAGTTGTTTGCGACAATCGAAACGACGATGAAGTACTTTTACCTTTGATCGTAGTAGGAATATTTACCGATGATTTGATCAAAATTGTTGTTGGTATTGCTGTAGTTGCATATTTTGTTTTTTTCTTACGTGACTCTCTAGTTATAAGCGTTATATTAGAAACCGCTGACATATAGCTACTACTTAGTAGAGGAGTCTTTGTGGTTTGAGCGCGTACTGTTATCTGAAACGGCGTGCCATATGGTGTTGAAAATAGTTTGGGTTTTTTTGTTCGAACGGATTGTGTAATAGAAGGTTTGTTACTAGAAGATTGCATGCTCACTTTGGAGAATGAAGTCATTGGCTGTGATGTGAAAACGGTTGATAGGCGAGTGTTACGTCGTACAGTTCTAATTGGTATTTGAGGAAAACCAGTACGTCGAACAGAAACAATCACAGTTGAGATTTTTGGATAATAGGTTTGTATTGTTGGTTTGCTACTGCTAAAGAAAGCTGCAATTGAGGATAGAGAAGTAAGATCGAAATCATTTGTTGAAGAACTATCTGTGGTTTCAAATGTAACAGTTGGTAATTCAGTTGACGTATTGTAATTAGTTTCAGTCGACGACATACTGTCATCATCCCCAAGCGCAGTTGAATTTTTATCTTGGAAATCTCTCACGGATGATGAAAATAGATCATAAGACAGAGTTGAAGACAAAGTGGATTCGGTTGAGATTAATGATACTTGATCACTGGATAAATTATCAAAATTAAACGGTGTTGTAGTTGGTTGTGGCTCGGAATAGTTGTTGGTGTATTTGATCATACCAGTAACCAAATCAAAGTGTGATGTAGATTCCACTTCTGTTTCATTAATTGAACTGGTAATAGAACTTGATGACGATTCAAATGTGGTGAGGTCAAAACCATAATCTGTTGTCGAAGACATTATGGCTGGTGATGTGAAACTGTGCCATAAATCGAATTGCTTAGTAGATGACGTGTATTCACTTGATGTATCAAATAAGATCGAAGTACCTATGGTTGAAAACGGTTCAGATGTTAATTGTGGCAATATCGTGCTACTTTGAGAAACAGCTTCCAATGAGCTAAATTTGTCCGTAGAAAGTAAATCAGATATGAATGAAAATGTAGACAACGAATCCATTGGTAACGAAGTAAGAGTTTCGATTGTGCTCAACATGATTTGAGAAGAGAAATCTGTTTTACTAATGTAAACGGTAGTTGAGTAGACCGTCGGCAATTTGGAAGTCACAGTTGAAGGATACTTTGTCATGTATGTCGTCAATACTGTAGATTTTCTAGTTTTTCTAGAACTTTTGGTTATAGACATTTTAGTTGATTGAATAAGATAACTCGTTGATTTACGTCTGTCACCAGTTGTAGGTATCACGGATTGTGACATGTTAATAAAACTAGTTGGCGAAGAAGTTTTCGAAATCGTGGTAGTTCTACTCGATAGTGTGGAACGAGTAGAAGATATAGTAATACATTCGGTAACAGGGAATAAGCTTTTCAAGATTTCTTTTGTTTCCGACTCACTAAGTCTCATCGGTGCAACTAAATATGATACAATAATGTTATATTTAGATTCTTTCATCAAATACTCAACTTACTCCAACGTGAAATATTCGATGTTGAGCAAATATTGAAAGAAACTGGAATATTCATGTTTATTTCTAAATTTAATGGTATTTTAAATGCTGAACTATTTGTTAAAAACTTTCTTAATAACAAATTTCGTTGGTCTATGCAAGAATCACATTGATCAAAATAGACTTGTATATCACGTATAATAAATGTTGTTAAACATTTTGTTTCTTGTCTATAAAATTGTAAGTAATTTTAGATGAATATATGATTAAAAACATAAAAATACGCCAAACCTGTTTATTCACCTTCTTCGTCTGCCATTGTTCTGTTGAACGAGAACTGAGTCAATAACTAATCCTCTAAAACCTTGTTCACTTTGTAATTGATTTGTTAACTAACAGAAAATAATTCATGTTAATTTAAAAATACAAATAGAACTAGAATACTTTAAATACCCATTTTTGAACTCTGGCAGAATTTTCAGTCGATAATTGCGAATTATGGATAAATTTAACTAAAAGATTGTTCATGCCATAAAATAAATCACCAATATCATATCCTGTGATTAACAAAAAACTATACATAATTCATTTAACTTTCACAAGTTTTTTATACACATACGTTCAATATTCTCGTGTGTAATTAAGTTATTTTCTAAAAGTTACAAACAACTTATATTTTTTTACTAGCATTTATTTAGAAATTAATATTTACTTTCAAACACAATGGATAAAGCAATGATAACAGACGCTAAAGCTACAAGACCAAAAGTCACGAACAGCGAACCGACTAACCATAATGTTCTTTTGGACTCTCTAACAACAAAAAAGATGAATAGAAATCGGATGTCAATACACAAATTCAAATTTTCAATTGGCATATTAACAATATATTTGAAGTAAAAAATACACTTATTCATGGTGAATTTAAAATCTTACTATTGTAACAAATCTTACTGTGTGGTTGTTATATTTGGAACTTCCATAGCCGGTGTGTTTGGCACTTTTGTGTCTTTGAACGAATGATCAATATCATTTTGTAATTGCTCAATTACTTGCGGCTAAAATAAAACTGATGCTAGATTTTTATTTTTTTTAGTTCTTAAATCAAGAGGGTAAAAGCAGATTTTCGTATTAGGTTAATTTGAGCTCAATACATATGATACCAATAATTTCCAAATTTTGTTAGATTTCCATGGACTTCACGGTATTCCACATAACTTTGTGAAACGTTTGACATTTTTCTGAGTCTTTCTGAATTTTTCTGAATTATTTTCGATAAGCTCCAATTTCAAGGCTTTTACAGATATTTCTTTTATTCTATTGAGCTTTCTTGAATTTTTTCGGATTTTTTTGTACTCCCGTAGACTTCGCTAGTTTCTCTAGCTTCTCAGAGAGGCACCGAGTTTTTCTACATTTGTGTATGCCCGGAAGTCCCAAAAGTCCATTTTTCCCCCTTATCCTAAATACTATAAAGAAACGAAAATAATAATATAGGAAAATTAATGAAAACAAATGCTACAAGACAAATGCCTGAGCTAAACAATCACACAAGATCTTAGTCTTTAGTCTGTTCTAGGACCATACAACAGAGACGAAAAGTATAGATAAAAAAATATAAAATCAGAGAAGAAGTATTTTTATAGTAGTCAAACAATGCCAGAATTGATTGATAGAATAATATGATTAATGAGTAAAATTATGAGTGTTTAATTGATGTTTCATACGTTTCAAGATGGTGAGGATGAAAAAAATAAAGAAGTTTTCTTTTATTAGTAGAGATTTTAATTCAAACAATTTTTCGTTATAAGTGATTATGAACAATGTGAGTCAGATTCAACTGGATACGAGACAACTTACCAACGGTACAACTTGTACTTTTCTTACATACTGCATTGTTGTCGTTGTAGTAACAGTTGCTTTCGATAATTGATCTTGATCACTGTTTGGCCGGATGGTATCAGGTTCTACACGATTTCTTCTCATGTTCTTCTTCTATACAAATACTAGAATCGACTACGTTACATGGATTATAAACTGAAATATTGGCGGTATCATTATAATCTTCTACGAACTATTCATCATTTATTACGTTCTTAATAATTTGCAAATCGAATAGTTCGTTTTTCTATTTAAAAAAAAAATTTTTTTAAACAAATTGTTTTAAAATTCGAATAGTATGTAGTATTTTTTCTTGAATGAGGTGTACGATGTACAAAAAAGTATAAATTGAATAGTTCTGTTATTGTTGAAGGTGACTTTATCTCTTTTGGAAGTAGCAAAAGAAAAAATTTGAGTAGATCTCGTAAAAAGTAAAATAATACAACTCAAGTATTTTCTTTCATATATTTCTTATGTAGAACACTAACGAATGAGCGTAATACAAAAAAACCCACGAAGAACAACAGTTGACGTCATTTATACTGTTAATAAATGTACACGTTGACTTTGCTCATTTAGAAATAAATAATAGCTAGATATAGAAAATACTTAGGGCATACCAAAAGTAAGGAGATTTGTAGGTAAAATCCCACAGACTAGAGGTAATTAAGTTTTCACTTCAGCAAGTATTTGAGCTAGTAGACATGATTACTCATGCACAATGAAATTATTTTAACCATTTGCTGAAAGTTTTTTTCGAATCATCTTTGATTGAAAAATTCATCAGTTTTGTTACTCACCGTAGTGATTAAAGGTCGTTTGAATTATTAAGCCTATGAATTAGACAGAACATCTGAGAATCACGTAGAATTCGATGAATATAAAATATTTAGATACGTTTTGATGCGAGATACTAAAAAACAGCTTTGTGAATATACGGTTGAACGTTGTCATAGTGACTTTTAATGTTTGAAACACTATCTGATGATCTTTGCTGTTTTACTCCCTTGATAAGTAGTTTTAGGGAATTTTTTATATAATATTGGCGATTAGAAATTTGCTCTCTTTCCGTGTCTGTCTATTTTTTAAGAGTATTTGGCTAGTTAGTTTAAGAAAAGGCATGAAACATTATTGTGTGACTAACTTGTTGCGTCAAACTGTAGTCGGTAGAGATTTCTCTCTTGCAATCCTTCTAATTCCAAGAACTGAAGTCCGTTTATGTGTGTCAAATCTAGAACTTGTGACCTACTACCACTTTATGTATTCGCTATATTTCTTTAGTCGGCTATGTCCAAGAAACTTTTTAATCAAAGATGATTTGAAAAAAACTTTCAGCAAATGTTTTGAAACAAATTTATTGTGCGTGGGTAATCAATGTCTACTAGCTCGAATACTTGTTGAAGTGAAAACTTAACTACCTCTAGTCTGTGGGGTTTTACCTTCAAGTCGCGTTACTTTTAGTATGCCCTAAGTAGTAGTGACAACAACTATTGGACTTCATCAAGCTCATCTTTCATTCTAAAATACTGGTGTTTTTAATTTCGCACCATAAAAGTTAATGTTAATATTTTATTGTTGTCAAGGAAAATGAATAAAACTATTCTGAGTATCAATTAATAATAAATCAATGGGTCTTATCTCGACTTTTGTTCCTTTTTTTTTGAAATTTTTAATGTAGAAACAGTTGTGAAATATTGTCTCGTACCAACTAATTACTGCATATTGGACAACATTTGAATGATTATTCAAAATGTATTTTATGCTATGAAAAGTGATAATTAATTAAATTTAAAAAGGCGAGAGACATATGTCAAAAGTAAAAGATGAACGATATAATTATTTATCCTATACTGGAGTAAAAGAAGATGAAGAAATTGTTGAGAGATTTAAAACTCGTTGGTCAAAAGTGGTTCCGTGTGATCCTCACATTGACTTGGATAAATTTCAATTAATTCGAACACTAGGACGTGGAAGTTTTGGTCGAGTTGTTTTAGCATTATTGAAAGTAGAAAATGCAGTAAAAGTGGGGGGTGGAATGGAAGGAAATAAATTTTATGCTATTAAAGTAATGGATAAAAAGAAGTTGGTACGTTTAGATGAAATTTATCCACTGTTTACCCAGAGGATTTTTTTTATACCAAAAATTTCCTTTGCACGCATTAGCTATGTTTTAACCCATTTAACAGCATTAAATATTAATAAACTCACATGCGTTAAGTGACTTAAAAAGAAAGTTCTAATGCGTTGGCACGCGTTTAATTTAGCATACCAAAAGTAAATGAAAAAGTTCGCATGCATTGAAAAGTCGTTAATACG